ATGCCTTTTGGGACAAACCTTAGTCTATTCAATTACACCCATTTGGCAAACATTGAATGCAGTACCTGAGTATCTGAGTGCACGTCAGGTCAGGCTTCTATATCATTGTGTTTATGTAAGATGAACGTCCTGATAAAAGTGCAGTAAAATTCTAAACATGCGGTTTTGAACAGGTATGGTCAACTTCCTTTCATCCTTTATGAAATTATGAATCTTTGAAAACTGGAATGTGAGATTAAAAACAAAGATTCAATGTTGGCTGTAGAAAGTTTGAAACTGTGAAAGTTGACATAGAAAAATGCACGGATATTTTATAAGGCTAAAGCCTTAAGTAAGGGTTGTCAATCTACTAATCTTGGCACATGTGAAGCGCCATGTCTCTCCTATCCCCACAAACCAAGCAGAGAAAACGCCTGTGGTCAAGGATGGAAAACACAGGACATAGCGGTTACGCTAACTAGCATCATCCCATCAATGCCTGACCACTAAAAGTATCTTGAGTCTATATTAGTTTTCCTGTTTTGCAAATTGCCCATGTCTACAGCTCCATCTGTAAAAATCATCATGCGTTACCAACAACACTTCAACAGGAGTTTCCCTACCATATCTTCTGACTATCCACCAATGACGTGCGCAGCTGCCTGGTGGGAAAGCCCTTTAAAATCAAAAATATCTCGGCTGTGGTTTTCTCATGCATGCTGATGACACCAAAACTGTTGTTTTTAGGATGTGAGCAAGCCAAGCACAATTTAAAAGCCTTACCAAACCAAGAAATATTCAAAATATTCAGAAGAACCATGGTATTATACAATATGAGCCCCATAACAACCCACTACAGGCCCCACTGAAACCTCCATAACAAGATGTGTACCACTGCAATTTTTGGAATCAACAGTAAGGCTGTGCATTAGTTAGGAGAAGAAGTAATATAGAGAGGGGAATTTCTGCTTCTTAAGCTGAATTTCAAACACACTTTGCACATGTCATGCAGGTTGACCACATCTAAGCGTACATCAACTTTTTCTCTTCCTGAATTATTTTTACACAGACTTGGCTGCCTTTACATTTGATGTTTTCTTATTTAATTTCCCACTCTCCTACTGTTACACAAAAAGGTTACAAAGTGCTGATTAAGGCCCATCCTGCACTCTCAGAAGGTGCTGCACCACCATGTGGCATCCACAGGCATAGCAGGCCTCTCAAGAGGGATGTTATAGAGCAGAACACTGAAAGCAAAGCATGGCTTAGCTCAAATCCAGATGTATCAAACAAAAATATAAAGAAAACAAAGCTCTCTCTTTTCAGAGGCCATGCGGTCTGTTATCTAAGCCTCCAGGTTTGCGTGATCTCACCACGCTACATGGTCACAGCGCTAGAGCTGAGAGAATCCTATCTTCTTGGCTCACAGTAAAGTGATACCCTTTGAGGTGTGGCTGTAGCCACAGGATATCCTATGAAGTTGGGAAATCCCTCTATCAACGGGGCTCCCCGCCCTTGCTGCACGTCAGGGCTAATCAGTCCTTAAGGCCTGGTAATGAGACGCCCGCCACCACTGTCTGCCAGGCATCGCCAGTCTGAGCCCACACTAACTCTGCTGCTCCTAATGAGTGGTAATCACCCAGCAGCTCCCCACAAACCACTGTAGTGATGCCGGCACGCACATGAGGCAGGCAACCAGAAGACAGGAGGGGAGAGAGAGGAGGGAACCGAATGAAATGTTTACATGGAGTCCCTTAAAAAACAACTTCAAACAACTTGAAGAAATATGGCTCCTTTAAACTTTAAAACGCACTTCTGTTTGATACACATCAGGAATTAATTCAGCACTGTGATAAAAAACCTTGTACAGCTGCAAACTGCAAAATCACTCCTCAGTAAATGTACACACATCCCATTTGTTACCATGTTGTTTTTGGCATACTGCCTGACTTAATGGAGCGCTGAAAACAATAAGACCATCTGAAAGAGCATCAGCTCTCTTTCAGGAACAAACTGATGATAGGAGGGTTTAAGAATATTACAGTTATTAAACAGCAAGTAGGAGCAACACTATATTTGCTTCTTCCGGTGGTTGCGGTGCCTCTTATATTGGTAAATCAGAGAGGCAGTTGCATGACTGTGGGCAACCTTCCTGTATATGTCGCACATGAACTAAATAAAAACAAACTCTTGACTAAGTGTTAGGACTCGCATTCAGCACAGTTTACAAGACCACAGAATGACATGCCTTTACCAAAACTCAAATGTAAACCAACACAGTTGTCTCAGAGAGCCCTTTGAGCCCAGAAGGGTCAACTGAGAAAACAAATGACTTCCTTCTCTGACAGATTACACAATATCTCATCAAGGTGCTGTAACCTATTAAGTCAAGTAACGAAAGTTAAGCCAGGATCTCTGATTCAAACTCTAATGATAACGGATTTAGCAGAACCAGCACCTGCCACAACAGGCTGAGGGAAAGAAAATGAGTGCTCACATTCTTGTGGCAAAGGATGACAATTTAAGCGGGTGCTTGACTACGCCAGGAATCCCACCCCACCCTCGACTGCGCAGACTATGGGCAGGAGAGATTGTGTTTATGTTACACTTACGCTCCACCGCACTCTGGAAATTGGGTATGCAACATTGACCCTCTATTTTGAGTAAATCAGTACTCAAGAGGCCCTAGGATGCCTCACGCTCATGGAATATTTATTTGAACAGGTTTGTGTTTGTGTGTCCCAAAGTCGAGCAGGACTTTGCCGGAGTGTCACTGGTGTCGGGTTTCTGGGAAATTGGCCAGTGGGCAGTCACATTTTGTATCTGTGTCACCTGTGCAGGCTCTTTCAGTATGTTTCATGTTCCTCAGCTGCAGGGCTAAATCATTCACTGACACTCATTCATATTCCCTCCTCAGCGAGCCGTGGAATAATAAATCTGGAGTATCGTAATACCACATGTCTCGCTGCACTACACAGGCCACAGCAAGAGAACAGACTGACAGAGAGAATTGAAAACAAGTGCTAACTGAATAAGTAAATATGCATTACCATTAGGACCATTAAGGCGGATGTAAGTGCCAATTTGGCACGTCGACCTTAATACACACTGCCTGCCAAGGGTGACACTGCTACAGGGAGGGAGACAGAAACAGAGAGGAGGGTTACATTTGTCCTTCTAATGCAACTTTGGAGCGGAAACCGAAGACAGAGACAGAGAAAGTACTTGGTATGTGCGTTAGCATTACAGATGATGACGTTTTACTGAGAAGGGCTGTGATATTTCCACCATACGAGCTATTACAGGTGCTGTACAGCATGTTTACATCACCCAGATATGTGCCAAGACCTCAGTGCAACACCCAAGAGAACAACATTTACTCAGACGCGCTAGAAACTGTGTCACAACCACAACAATCTGGTTAATTCAGACAGGTATCTAGAAGAAAAAACAAGAATTCCCAACATTGTTGTTCTTTTCATATTTTTTTAACTTTACAGAGTCTTACCCGAAATCAGGAAAGCCTATACAGCCCGTAGGAGTTAAGGTCAACAGGTCTAACACACAAGTCTAACGGGCCCTTAGGGTACACTTCCTGTGCTCTCTTGCAGATTCACAACATTTCCCAGATCAACTAACACTCCTGGATCCAGCACAACACCCATACCTATCATAAATTTGACTCTGCTGGAAAGGCTTCGATTGTCATCACTGCACAGTCCCAGCAATTTGTCTCTGAGCACGTCTGCACTGTTTTCATCCAAGGGTAGCAGTAACAACACCCATCAACACGGATATTTGTAGATACTACGGAAAAGCACCAAGATCTTGCCTGGGTTTTTAGTTTGACCTGCCACCTTAGTACATTTTGTTCTGTCAGTTTTTAAAGATTTGGTGTCTTTTGGGGGATTGTGGGATGAAGACAGGTGAAACATGGCTGCTCTCACACCTGACAACATCCTGACCTCATTTGAACGACCTTTGCTTCCCTGCAGGGTAATGGTCATATTTAACTAAAACAGTAAAAAGAAAACTAAAAGTGCAAGTTCATGGGAGCAGGCAAACAGGAGTTCAGTGCATTAGTAGGCACTCTGAAGTGGAGGTCATAGTGGGCTACACCTAAAATTCAAGGCGTTTCCTGAGAATGACTTACTTTGAAATATACACCCCTGTGTTCTTCCTAAATTAAACATTATTGTGAATATGACATGATTTATGAAACCCTTAATTTGTTGGTTTCATTTCCTAACACGTGTTCCAAGTGCGTTTTAAAGCTGATGGAGGCAGCAGAAGAGAGAAAAAAGCCTGCCAGAATTGGGTGATGTTTATGCTGGATGGGGGAATTTTTCTGTGCAAGCTGAGCAGACGTTTCGGCCACCAGTTCAGTCAGATTGCTTTATTGTTACCAGCTGTGGAGTCTGAGGCATATACACTCACCTTTCACTCCGCGGTTGTTTTCAGAGTCGACTAAGGATATGATTTTACAAGTGTTTCAGCAAAAATAATCACTCGACCACTACCTGCCATTCAACGCGCCAGGGGTTACATTACACTGGGCGCTGGCTCAATTGTCACGGAGAGAATGGGGTGAGCTCTCCTCGGCCAACATTACGCCGAGGCTGCGTATAGCTACCTGTTATAGATGCTGTGTTAATGGGCTTTCTAAGATACTCTCTGACCCTGCTTGTCACACAAAAATGTAATTGTCAGCAGCTCCAGTGCGGCCAAATCATGTGCTGACAACCTGCTGGAGCCACCAGCTGCGAGGCCGCTGAGGGCTGCGCAACCGCGGCCAAATGACACCTCGCTGACCCGCTGATATTAATGCAATCAAAACAACTTTTAAAACAAATCAAAGTTGGTTAGGCATGTTTTTAGTTGCAGAATCTCTCAAGAAACCTCAATGAACTGTTTCAGCGGGGTTTAAAGTTAAAGATATAAAGTTGTTACCTGCTTTTAGGAACCAATCAAATCAATGAAAGCAGCATCATGGACATACTATAGTGTCTGTTAGTCCTTACCCAAAATAAGCTGCGGTTGGTCCAGGCAAGTTGAGAAGATACACTATGACTGTGAACGATAACCATCCCAGGAGTAGGTGTCCATCCAGCATTTTGCTGCGGCTCCAGGGCAGATCATTTCGTTTCTCCTGAGTAGCTGTGTAAAATCCCTTCTTGAACGTTCAACACTTCTTATACAGAGAGGAGCTGCGCTGCGCTCCTCCCATCAGCAGAGGAAAGAGAGAGAGGGGGAGAGAGAGAGTAATATGGCAATACATACAGAGTTGAGCTGATTCACAATTCACTCTCAGGTTTCAGAGAGATAAATCTTCCCAGTTGCCTTCATTTATGATTGGCACTACAGTGGGCGTTTTAAACACCATATCGTCAGTGTTTGTGCAGACTGAGGTCAGTATGAGCTGGCCTGTATATGATCAAATACTTGTTTACCATCAATCAGTGACAGTTTATTTCCAGTATAGCAAACCTTGAATTTGTATAATCCAGCAGATGCAGGATAACAGCCCCATATGGAAGTGTATGAAGTCCAACACTAAATAAGATGTTGTAGCTGGACTTTTTTTAAATAGTTTATTTTGTGCAGCAATGTAAAGTAACTAAGTTTACTATATTTACTCCATTATTGTACTTAAGCTACAGATCAGACACTGGAACAAGTTTAACACATGTGGACCTTATTTCGAAATTGTTAACTGTTGTTCCCAAGGTCGAGAATTTAGTTTCAAATGTGAGTTATGAGATATTTAGTAGTATACTGAGTGAGCTATTTCAACATTATACTTTATTCTTGAATTTGCAAACTTTCTGAGACAAATATTGTACTTTTGGTTCCACTACATGTTTCTGAAAACTGGAGTTACTTTACAGATTTTCACATATGATTGTAAAATATGCCCTATAAATCATCATGCCTGTGTTGATTTTGTCTGTCAAAAAAGCATTGTATATTGCAGAAAAGGCTCCATGTTTAGTCGATTTTTGGTTAAAGATTGTCTGTTGAAGTTAAATATCAGTCTGGTCTTGCCTTTTGGAAGGCACAGTGATCACTTCTCCTAAACCATGAGTTCATCTGCAGTTCACGGTGAAGAAAGCTAATTTATCCGCAACTATAACTGTAGGCCATTTCGCAACCGTTGAAGTAACCTTTAATCACTTTGAAAAATATCATATTGAGCACCATAAATCAATTAGCAAACAATCAATCACTCAGGCAAAGTAATCTGAACCCTTTGGCAGGTCTGCTCTTGAAAGTATTTACTCTTCCTACGCATTTGATTGCATAAGATTTGGAGATTACCAAAACATGAAGTTATTGTCACAGAAAATATTCTCTAACATGCAAACATTTTACTCAGTCAAAAAAGTTGCATAGTTGTAAAATGCAATTGAGTATGTTTGCAAAACATAGACATAGGTGGTTGAATGTCAGTTATTCACAGTAACATTTTACTTAAAGTGACAGCAGGTTACAGGTTTATTCTTAAGCACGACAGCCATAATAAGCGAGGAGCGGTATTACAGATGTGTTGACTAAGTTGACCTCTTGATTTGTGAATAATATCTACTGACTGTTTGCCAGCTGAGAATATCTTTAGTCAGGGACAACCACACTTAACTCCTGTATAAACACCTATCAGTGGCTCAGCTATCACCTGACATCTTTTGTGTCCGCACACACCTTGATTTTTGGCACGTAAATAGAGAGAGAGGTATCTGAACTTGGGAAGGGTCCAGGTTTTCACAGCTACACCTGGGGAGCACTGCTGCCAGGATTCAGGATGAAGTCTATTCATTCCCAATCTCAAACCATATACTGCCCGTTTATCGCAAACACACAGCCACAGATGGGCCAAGTGGCTTCCCAGAGCCAAGTTTCTACTTACTGTGTGGGTAAACAAAATGGCACTTCAAAATAGAGATTAAAGTGAGCAAGCTTGATCATTTACAGTTGCGTTCTTCACATGATACTGGATCTCTTGTGATCGCTGAACCGTGAACAGATCACCAATTATTCAGTTTTTGCGTGGTGTGTTATTATCTGAGTATGAGTTAACAGGAAATGCGGACTACCTGCAATGTTGATTTTAAAGCAAAAAATCTACATTATGCGAAATTCGCCATTGAGTATAAACCTTCAGACAGCAGCCACTTAGCTTAGCAAAGAGATTGGAAAGTGTTGAAAACAGCTAGCTCTGTCAAATTGTAACAAAATCCACCTACAAGCCCTAACGTTTATCACTTATCGACACATAATTTCTAATTGTTTTAATCCATACAAATCCAACATGTAAAATTCTAATTTAGGATTTAGTCTGGGGGTTGTACATGGGACTTTTTCATGGGCGGTGTGCACTGCCACTTTGAAGTCTTGAGTCACAGTTTTTTTGTAACTATAGTAAAGCAAATATTTCTGCCGTTGGACAGAGCCACACTTAATGTTTCACCCTATTTCCAGTCTTTATGCTAAGCTAAGCTAGCCAGCTGCTGATTTCTAAAGGTGCTGCGAGATATGTACTTATATAACATGGTTAGGCTGTAGGCTATAAGTCTTTGCTATTTGGATGCATGATTTAACTTTAAACTCATGCTCAATATCATTCACACAATTCACACAGGTGAGCACATGAAAGCTCAGGAATGCACTTTTTTTTACATTATAAGCTTGTCAGTCATTCCTAAAGGGCAGTAATTCAAAAGCCTATAGGCCCCCAGTAAGGACTGTGCTTCTTAATAACACCTGGTTTTAAGGAGATCAGCGGGAGGGTTTGTCAGTACATGACAAGAATGGACACTAATCCTAAGCAATACCCACTGGTCCTGCATGTCTCTTGAGTGGGATAATTGATTCCCACACCCTTCTTAAAACACACTCACCCCCTCTTCTCAGACCCGGCAACCGAGAAAACAGAGCTTGTTTCATTCTGGTGTCGAGGGAACATGGCAATGAGGACAAAAGCGTGTGTTTAAAAAAAAAGAACTTGGGCTCCTATGAGGGTTGAACTGAGGACTGTCATAAGTGTTGTAGGTGGTAGCATACATTTGTTTGGTAATGGACACTAATCTCTTTAGGCTGCCGGGATATTTTCCTCCCGCTGGTAGATATAGTCCGTTACCCTGCTCTACCATTTTTCCTGTCTCTCATAATCTATCTCCAAGTTAACATGCATATATAAATGTGCAAAATGCATTTTAGATAATAGCCTATATTACAGATCCTTCTGAAAATAGTCGTATCAGATGTCCATGAGAAAGTCACCCTTAAGTAACGGTGTAGAAGAAGTCAACTTGGTTTCAGCTCTAAGTGTGACTAGAATACTCAGTTCAGATTTCAGTGTTAGCCTGCAGTGTTACATTTCTTTTGCAATTACAATGAGGTTCCTCCGGGAATTGAGGTTAGTTTCTGCATCGGCTATTCAAATTAGATGGAATGTGCTGGGACGTTGATGGAGTTTGAGGTATTTCCTTTCAAATATCTCAGAAAAGAAAAACTCCTTAAATGCATTCAAAACATTTCAATGTAGCCTACAGTAAATATGCTTATAACACACAGCAGGGCATATGTTGCATGACCATATTAAAAGGATTTAGAAAAATCCAGAAAGATGTAGGTAAAGATTATAATGCAAGGCAGATGGTATTTTGTAGAAATAATTTGTATTAAAGTGCAAAGATTCCCCTCCCTCTCCTCAGAGTCTTATGTATTAGCCTTGGTCTGACCTTGTCTTGATATCACATCCCTGGAGAGGAATGTAAATCGTATCCGTCCAATCCCAACCCAGTTACCACCAAACTCCTTGTTCTCACCACCCCTACTCCGCTGCAGGGCCACATGATCTTTTCCATGTACCAGACATAATTTGTGGCTTAGGTTTGGAGGCTGACGGTGCGTCTGCGCCACTCTGCTGTTTCAGGCGTCGGGCGCACCATGTGCAGCCGTTCTCAGGATTCAGGAAAAGTCCGTCCTCAGGGTCTGGAGAGGTTGCTGTTGTTTTTTGAAAACTTGGTGAATGAGCTGTCATCCTCCTGTGTTGGTTTGATCGCATCCCTAAGAGAAAACAGATCAGATATTGCTAATGAACACATGTATTGAGAGTCAGGAGCAAATCACAATTCTCAACCAAAAAATTAAATTAAATTACTAGGAAAAAAAACATTAAAAGGTGTCCTCAACGACTAAGATTACTGAATAACTAACTCTAGGATTCACCTTCTGTGCAGGTCCAAAACAGAAGCTGGATTTCGTAGAAGAAGCACCTTGCTATCAAAAAAACACCTAGTGAAACGTAAGCCTGGTGCTTCATTTGTGGCATGTAACCTATGGTCCATGCACATTTTCTAGTGACGTGTTATGACACACTTGAGCCAAATTGTATGTGAGCATGTGGCGGCTTGTCCATTCTTGAAAGTGTTTAAGTAGGCACATCTAAGCTGCTGCTGCTGTTGTGTTACCGTGGGAGGGACTATGAAATACCTTTAATACAAGGTGAAATGGTTGGTTGTATTAAAGATGATCTTCCAAAATCAATCACTTACCTTTAGTTTGGTGTGACATGCCATTAAAGAAAATGGTCTGTCCAAAAACATCTTTGGTTTATTTTATTACCATTTTCATCCTGTTGGCAGTTAAAGCTATGATCATTCAAGCATCACATTTCCTCCCTTGCAAACAATGAAATTAATATCTGCCTTTAATATCAAACCACAGTCTGCTGGGTTTTTATTGCCAAAGCCGCATGATAAAATCCACTCTTTGGTTTCCCAGCAACCTGTGAAACACTTTGCTTGAATGATGTTTACAGAATCGCAATTTTTCTATTTGCTCTTGAACAAGCAAGACCATTCATCCAGGTTTACCTCGACTCGCTGGAGAAAGCATCTACAATGACACAACGCAGTCTCAACAGTAAAAGTAGTGACATGTTAAGAGTTGGAGCCAGGAAAGTACAGGTGGCTGTGCGAAGACAGACGATATGGTAGACGTACAGTGAATGGGTCGTGCTCTTGACCAGCAGGTGGTGTTGATGGAACGGTATGATCTGCTTTACTTAGCATTAATGAAACAAGACAGAGTCCAGCAGAGCAGCTGCATTCTGTACAGCCTCCCTCTCAGCTGATTGCGACCTCGGCTGACCCTGAG